GGCCGCACAGCCTGCTCCGGATGCGGAAGCGCGCGCTGCGGTGCGGCCCGGAGCTCCCACCTTTACCCCAGGCAGGCGCGATTCGCGTGGACGCTGAGGCCCTAGGTCAGTAGCGGAGGACGAACTTGATGCAGCGTTTTCTTGGGGATGAGGGCCTGCAGACGAGTTGTTGCTGCTCCGGGGTCGCACAGCTTTGGGCAGGCCCCGCGCTTGTCTGCGCCTGGGTTTTCTTCCTGCGGTGGAGGGGATGCTCTTTCCACTGCCTCACTCAGGTGGCGTGGAGCTCGAAGTCGAACACATGTTTTGTTCCTTGAACAAAAAGCTGAACTTAATGTGTTGCAGAACAGCTCTGCTGTTTATGCAGCACTCGGAGATGCTTCCCCCAGCACGCTGCAGTGGCCTGGCTCCCCAGATACCTCATTTCCGAGGGAGACCCGCCCCCATCGGCATTGGTCATAGCCCAGGAGTGCTGAAGGGTGTGAGAGGGAGAAGACCCCTTGGACTGCTGGTCTGTCTTCTTGAAACTTCTGGGGAAAATGTGGAAGAAGGCTTTTTCAGTTCCAGTGGATTAATGACTTTGCAAATTCTGTTTGGTTGGGGAAGCAGTCAAGGCTCGGAGGAGCCTCCTCTGGACCAGTTTTTGGTTGTGTTCTGGGAAGAAGAGCACCCGGGCAGACTGGGGGTGGGAGTGACTGTACAGGCAAATGTGGCTGCTGAGTACGGAGGTGCTCAAACACCCGCCTGCAGAGGGGAAGGCAAGCCTTCTATGGATTTGTGCTTTCTTTGCCTGTGCAAGATCAGCCTTGCGTGAGGAGAAAGGCAGTCACAGAAGCTGTCACATGGAAATGTCTGCAGTAACCTTCCTGACCCAAGTCTCCTCGGCCCTCACTGTTAGCTAACCTTCTCAAACATTCTTCCAGTACGCTGCTGGTTCTAGGTCCGGTGATGACAGCACACGGATGACCCAGGAAGGCAGCATGGTTGGATGAAGGGATAGAGTTTTGTTTCTCTTTTCCAAATGCTAAACAGCTCATAGCTCAGTTATCTCTGGGGATGAAATTAATTCATTTTAAATATTTGGTTTGATTGGTGATTTACTAGTGAAAAGATAAGGTTTTTGTCTTGATAAGGGCAGGGGTGGATTGTTTTCTAGTCTTTGCAGGAAAGTAATGCGTGCTTGGAGTGTGTAGTTAAATCGTGATGTAAGAACGTGGAAGAAAGCAGAGATGGGGCAGGAATAGCTAGGCTCTTTTCTGATGATCAAAAAGAAAAAAAGGAGCTTCCAGAGAATTTGGGCCCTAACTTAAATGAGATTGACTTGGTTTAATGGTCTTTTTAACTTAGTTGGAGAGCTGAATGTATTTATGCAGTCCGAGCTCAGAATTGCTTTGTATCTTTAAACACACACAGCACCTCCTACAGGTCTGCAGCAGCCCGAGAACCAGAGCAGGTGTGGCACTGAAACTTGGAGATAATAGTCAACACTGAAATGTTGAGTGGGCACTCTAAAATGGTGGCAGAAACTAGAGTTCTCATCAACTGCTAGAAAAATTTGTGAATTCATAAGATCTATATTTTAATTATGAGGTTTATATCATGTATATATTTGTACATTTTTTATATCTTTGTTAATTCATAACTGATGCTTTAGTCTGTACAAATGACAGTCTTGATAGTTTGTAGTTAGAGTTTAGATCTAAAGTGTCTGACAATTCTCATGTGTCAGAGGTGGGGCTTTTGGAAGGTGATTAAATCGTGGGAGAGACACTCTTCAGCATATTGATCAATTCATAAGTTCACAGCTGAATATGGTCTCAGTTACTTTTTGTTGCTGAGACAAAACACCAACAGCCGAGGTTCAAGGCAGAAAGTTCTCTTTAGCTCAGAGTTCGTAGAGGCTTCAGTCTAGTGTTGGCTGGGTCTAAGGTTCCGGAGTGGCATCGCAGAGAGGCAACGGTATGTGGTAGAGAGAAACAATACATGGCAAAGCACGGTGGGCAGAAGGCAACAGGTGCAGAAGTAGCAAGGAACAAGTGACAAGCGCTGACCTCTTCCTGTCCCTTATATCTGACCCAGCCTATCTGCCCCGAGGGTGGGCAGCCCTCACACCAGGGTAACTCACCCTTAATCCTACCCAGAACCATGCCAAACCACTCAGTGGACTAATTTAGTAATCACGGACCCTTGATCCCACTGTCACACACTCTAGATCCAGCCACCTCTGAAAAGCCCCACCTATTACTGCATGAGGCTTTGGGGGGACATCTAGACACAAGCCATAGCATACACTATTAGGAAATGGGCCCACTCAGAAGAATAGGTTGCTGGGAGAATAACTTGGCCACAGAAATCTTGTCCCTGGCTGCTTCTCTCCTTTTCTCCCATTTTGCTTCCTGGCTACAACAGGTTGAAGAGTTTTCTTTTTCCATGCTCTTCTGCCATGTTTTTTTGTGCCTTAGGGTCAACCACTCTAAAACCATGAACCAAAATAAATGTCTTTTCTTTTAAATTGCAAGTATCAGATATTTTATCCTAGTGATAGGAAAATGAATAATACAGAAAATTGGTACCAAGAAGGGTCATTGCTGTGATTGCATGTCATTATAAGGATCAGAAACCTTTGGAACTGTTTTGTGGGAGAAGTTTGGGAAAATTTGGAGGTACTGTCTAGAGAAGCCCTAGAATGTGGTAAGCAGTGCTTGATGAACAGTATTGGTTGGAGCTCAGAAAACCAGAATGCTAATAGTAGTGAGTACAGTAAAGATCAGTTTATGAGGTTTCAGAGCACTGTATTTGGAAACTGGACTAGAGGCCCTGTATGTTTCATTTTGGTAAGTACTTTGTTGACATTTTGGCTAAGTTCTAAAACTTTGTATAAGGCTATTTAAAGATGGTAGACTATATAATCTGTAGAGGAAATTTCAAGGTAGCCCAACATTCAGGTTGTGGCATGGGTATGTCTGGCAGCTTTTAGCCAGACCTGAAGTAAGAATCAGTAGTGAAAGAGCAGAGTGTTAAAATTTTTGCCTTTGGCCAGAAAGGAAATGTATGTAAAGTTGAGGTCAAAGAGTATGATTCCTAAAAAGATCGGCACAATTAGAAGCCATGTACTTTATACCCAAACAATGGAAAAGATCCCTTGGGGGCATCTTAGAAATTGGTCAAACTCTGCCCAACACCTTCAGGGTAGAAAATAGTAAAGTTCCTTAAGAGACTTTGCTTTAAGAAGAGAACCATAGGACGCCCTACTAACTCAGGGCCACTTAGGAAACAATATTTGCAAATTCAGCCATCCGGGGATTGAGAGACTGTGGTGACTTTGGTTACCAGGGGCCAGGTAGGGAAGGCTGGGCTACTGCTGGAGCTGGTGGTAAAACTTGAATCATTCACATAGTGCTAGTTGTTTAAGCATGCAAAATGCTGGAGTTGTGAGGTTATGGAGGCTTCCACTCAGATTTAAAAGGATAGCCTATGAGGATAGGCAGTTTG